GCTGGTCTTCTTCTTCATCCTCTGAGTGGCGCTTGGCCTCAGAGGCCTGTTTCAGGGTGGCGCTGCCCCCAGGAGTCTGTATTTGGGTGGCGCTTGATGTTTCAGGGCTCAGGGGGTGTTCGGGGGGTTAATCAGGGTTGGAGAGTGAAGCGCTGCTCAATTCTGAGCAGCGCACTGTAGTTCTGGAGTGATCCTGACGTTTCGAGACTCCGAGTTTAATAAACAGTGTGTAACTGGGTTTGGACTATCATCGTTTCATTGTTTCCTGGATGTGATCTGCTCGGCTTTTCTCTATGACTGGTTGTGAGGATTGAATGGAGTGAATTGCACTTTCAGTGTACCCTGTCATATCGCATGGACAAGTCTTCCGCTGTGTTTACCTCTCCCTGTGCGGTGTGATACTCCTATCCTCTCCCCTTCCTTCTGTGTGTGTATGGGCATGTGCAAAAGTTTATGTGAGTGAGTGTTGGCCTTCAGGCAACGTACAACCAGAATCATAACATATTTGTGCCACAGAGAGAGAGAGAGAGAGAGAGAGAGAGAGAGAGAGAGACCAAAGGGTTCCCTTTTTGTCAATTTAGGGCCCCCTGCAGGTAATTCAGATGACTCCAGCAATGCCCTTCACAACGCACTTCAGCACTTCGGCATTGTGGAGGGATTGGTTACGGTCGCTTCAGCAAGCAGGGTCCACATCACGATGAGAGAGGTGGGAGCAGACCACCAATATATTCTGTGGGGCCGAGTTCAGGTCTGTGGCTCCAGAGTTATGGGTCACCAATTCAGCTAGACCCTGTTCGTGTCTCCACGTGATTCTCAGGGCCTAGCTCCACCACTCAGTGGTACTCACCGAATGAAACATGGAGCCATACACCGTCATATGGTATGTCTTTTGTAAATGTGGTGAGTAGTGGCCAGAGGCCCCTTGGGCCACTGTACGTATTCAGAAGAAGACAAAAAGGAAAAAACGAGAGAGCTACAGGTATTCAGAAGAAAACAAAAAGAAAAAACGAGAGAGTTACGGGCATCTTATTCCTAACCCATAACTGCCGACATGCAGACCTGAACGCCAAACTTCAGCATATATTGGTGGTCGGCTGGCCTCAGTAAACATTACGTGTGCCATCTGCTAGACAGCGGGAGCACGGCAATATTGGGCAATGATACCCTTCTTGCAAATTTGTCCACCTCTGCGTGGGATTTGCAGAAGGAAAGGGGATGTCCAGTTATCATACCCCACCCAAAAAGGAAACCCTAGAGGCTCAATGAGCCCTATTTTCATAATCGGCAATTTTGAAATTTTTGGGGTAGCAGCCCACAAAATTCAGACCCTTGCCCAAATTTGTTTTTTTGGGCCAAGGGGCGCGGACATTTTCCGAACTCGCGAGGCGAGTTGGACATTTTTTCCAGGGAGGGTGCCGTAGGAAATTATGGGACCCCTACATTTTTTTCTTTTTTTTTAACCTTAATTTTTCTGGTGCGGTGCGCAATGCGGTGTGCGCGATGCGCTACGCGTGCGCAAATCCGCTCACCGAGGTGCGCCACAACTATGCTGTGATACGATTTGGCTTTCAATGTGATTGTGCAATCTGAATATTGTCATCTCGCTTCTGTTCATTTTCCTTGCAATTTTGCGGCCAGTGAGACATGCCCAAATCCGGCTTTATGTTTGAGTTTGGTGATAATTGCAAGGAACATGAATTTGGACGAAGCACAGAAATCCAGATTGCAAAATCACACTGAAGTCCAAGTAGTCAAAGCAAGAGCAGATAGCACAATGGAACCGAGTAACCATCCATTTGAGAACGATACAGAAGAATCGTGAGTCAATGTCCAAGCCCAATCGGGCAACACCAACAGCATAACCCAATGTAGCTCTCTCTCTTGAATGGCGCCAGGCGCCCTACCTACTCTACAGCCTACCTCTACAACTACAGCATGGGAGCAACCAGACAACTTGACGACCAGCGAGTGATGATGTCAACACCAATGCCGACCTCCTCTCCACCAGGTACGTCCCTCTCTTCACCCTCACTCTCCCTTGTTATCCCACACAGCGCCCTTCACCTCCGAAGAACCACCTTCGCCCTTCACCTCCTCTGCGCCCACAGGCAGCCCGGCTTTGGCTGCCAACACCCTGCGCCCAGGCTGCGCTCTACCACTTAGCGCCAGCCTGCCTTCCTCAGCCTAGCGCAGCGCAGCACACATGCAACGCAGCAGCGTGCCGGCCTTGCTCGCAATGGCCAAGATCCCTGCCCACTCGCCCTCCCTGCCTATACGCCAGTGTTGCGTGTGGGCGGCCTCCCTCGAGCCTGCGCCTGGGCCCCAGTACCTGTACCCAGGCCCAATGCGGTTGGGGCCCAGGAGATGCAGTTGCGCCTCTTTCATCAAGGCCTGCGGCCAGATTCAGATAGTGGACCGGTTTCCCATTGGCATTTTCGGCCTCTATATCCAGCATGCATTGTCAGCCTCACGTTTATGTGCCCAGGGCCTAACCAACTCTGGGGCCCTGGGATTTCTGCATTTGCAGAGCTCCGATACTCGGTGCACTCCAACCAACTGGCGTGCTGCAACTGTATGGACCCCACTTCGAGAAATGTTTGCACAGAGGGCTCTTGTTGATTTGCTGGCCCGCCTTCACTTAGGGCGGGCACGAGGCTTGCTGGGGCCTTAGCCCA